TATGTGTCATCTCCCTATACCCAGAAACCTTGAACCCCCAGTGGCCACAACTATTAGGTCCAAAGAAAAGTTCCTGCCTGACAGCAGTGATGACTGTTCTCAATTGTCACCTTGACAATATCTGAAATGAACTACAATTCACGTTTATAAAGTTCTTGTAAAAGTGTAAAGAGAGGTTTCAATCCAGGCCTGGTATTACAGGCCTTTAATCTCAGCATTCAGGACAGAGGCATTCAGAACTATGAGTTCAAGGTCATTTTACAAAACGATTTCTAAGCCAGCTAAGCCTAGGCAGTGAAAGATGTAATAGAACCAAGGGATCATGTTCCAGACCCAGCAAGCAGCAGCAGTGGGCAGTTTGGGTCATGTCGTTCTAGGTTAGAGTTGCCTTTTGATCAAGATGTAAAGCTGTTGGCATGCAGTACCAAGCCTGCCTGCATGATTACATGATTCCCACCATGATGATAATAGACTGAACCTTCAAAACGGCAAATCAGATCCACCTAAATGTTTGTCTGTACAAGAGTTGCTTTGGTCAGGATGTATCTTCACACACACACACACACACACACACACACACACACACACACACACACAAAACCCTAAGACAACATACAGCAATCACACTCTCCAAAAATCCAGAGAGGAAACAGAAGACAAGAAGCAGAACTGCTACCCAACACACACAAATGTAGAAACTAGGATATAAATACTTTACCATTACAATCCCAGTATCTTAGATTCTAGCACAAACAACACAAGGGATAACAACATGTTAACATTATGTTTACTCTAGAGATGCCCAGCTATCCTAAGACAGCAGTCCCTGAACATTCAAACATGGCTGAAGCACAAGGAAAGACCTTAAAACAATCTGTATGAATGTGATAGAGGTCATTCTGGTGAGAAGGAAGAAATTCCTTAAACAAATTCATGAAAGCACATACAAACAATGTCTGGAAAGAAATCCATTAAAGAAATACAGAAAAATGGCCGGGCAGTGGTGGCGCATGCCTTTAATCCCAGCACTTTGGAGGCAGAGGCAGGCGGATTTCTGAGTTCGAGGCTAGTCTGGTCTACAGAGTGAGTTCCAGGACAGCCAGAACTACACAGAGAAACCCTGTCTCGAAAAAAAAAAAGAAAAGAAATACAGAAAAACAAAACAAACAGTGGAAGGAAATGAATAAAAACATTTAAGGCCTGAAAATGAAAATAGAATCCATAAAGAAAACAAGCACTGAGGGAATTCTGAAAATGAAGAATTTAAAATTTACATATAAACTAAGAATGAAATAACAGTTGGGTCTTTGAGAAAAATTAACAAGATCAAAAAATCCTTGTCCAAACTAATAACAGTGCAGACAGAATATACAAATTAAACTAATCAGAAATAAAATGTGAAATGTTAATAACAGACGCAGAAAATCCAGTGACTCACATGGACACATTTTTAAAAAGACTGCTTTACCACATTGGAGTATCTAAAATAACTTGATAGTTTTCTTAATAGGTTTTACATGTCAAGGCCAATCCTGGCCAGATGATCACTTAAACAGATGTAACTCCTAGTCAAATAGAAGCAGTCAATATAAGTCACCTCACTTGCCACCCCTTCGAGTCAGGATCCCCCAACCTCTATTTCTACCTTGTTGCTGTTACAAGCCTCCTACTGAAGTCCATGCTGGACCAGAGGTCAACGAGGGCAGGCCATGAGAATTGCAGGGAGGCTACCTTCTCACAGACATATTCTGCTCTCTCAGTGATCCTCAACTGCAGGACTATCCCTAATCCCTCTTCCCTCCGCTTCACTGCTCCAGTTCCCAACATAAACCAAGACCCTCTGGCAGGCCCTCTTCACCAGACCATGTCCACCCTCACTTTGGAGCTGCAATGCTGCAGTTTCTTTAGGCACAGTAGGGCTATTGCACACCTTCCTGCCGCCTTCTCCTGCCTTCCTTTCAGAGTTGTCTGTCATCCCCCAGCTCCCCTAGGTCCTCATGGGTTTTGTGACTCCCTGTGCTTCTCTGACCCTTTCTTGTGGATGACACCACTCTCCTAGAGATTGGTTTTTCATCCTTGCCTTCTGGCCTCCACTCCACAAAAGATCTGGTGCCAGATGCCCTGTCTCTCCTGAATTAGCCGGGCTAAACCCATAACTCCCACTGAATGGGGTTAAATCACAGTGAAAAGCTTGTGTCTTCCTTCAGTTTGACCTAGGTCTTGTAGTCTCACATGACTATGGGATGCAGTGCAACCTTCCTCCAGCCCCTTCTTTCATCCACAGGCAATGCCTTGTCCATGCTGTCTCACTCCTTCTAGAGATGTCTTTTAGAAAATATCCAGGTTCTTCAGCTTGCACATGACCTGAGTGATCCTAGATTTATTCACCTTTGCAATAGGATTTGAACACTATACTCCTTAAATAATCAATCCAAAGAGTCACCTATTGACACTCTAGATCCTAATATTATTAGGGACTTTTACAAATGCTACAGGTGATCAGGGAAATGGTAAGGTTTCCCTATTTTCTATTTTTCTCTTCTCTACTCCAAGCCGTGTTTGATTTTGTCTGGTCTTCTCCTGCCCAGGCCACTACAACACACACACACACACACACCACACTGTATAAAGTGTCCTGTTTTTTTTATTTCCTTGATGTATCTGTAAGTTTATTTCAAAGTAGAAGCTGGGAGGTGGACCTAGCAGGATGGGGAGAAAGCAAATGAGTAGTCCCTTAGCATGCACACATCCTGAACACACTTTCCAAAGTCTGGTGCATATCTCAGCTCCATCCTGCATAATCCTCTATTTCTATAGCTCAAATTTTTTCAATTTCTAAGCCCTGTTTGTTCTCAGCTTATTGCATTCAGTTTTACAGGGAAGCTCGTGTCTCTTAGGTATGAGTGTCATTCAACTATTGTTTTTTGTTCTTCTACTTCAATTAAGTGCCAGAAGCCAGGACCCTCACCCTTACCCTCACCCCCTACATTTCCCCACCTGCACAATGTCCCCTGCAGCATGGCAACTGCAAGATCCTGCCTGACAGCTGCAGATAGACTCAAAGCAGTGTACCATATCTTCTGAAGAATAGCAGGTAGATCATAATTCAAGGCAGTGTACCGTATAGACCATGACATGTTTCAGGACACAGGCCAAGAAGATTCTGTACTTTTCCACCACTTGGCCCCTCTTACTCACTCCCCTTGTAAAGCATACTATAAAAAAGCATTTCACATTCAAATACATGACTCTTGACAAGCAAATGTTTGCTTGAGTCCTTTCCCTATCTCGCCCGTTCTTCTTTCAGGTTGTGGTCCTCCTTGCCCCCACGAATAACTAGGACCCGCCAGTTGTGTCAATTAAGAATGAGAATGTTATCATTTTCAAATATAAACCCAGCTGTGGGATTATAACAGCCAAATTTGGTTGATATGCTTGGAAAAGGGGAACCTCAACTAAAGAGTTGCCTTCATCTGATTGGCCTTGGCCATATCTGTGAGACATTGTCTTCACTGTTCAATGATATAGGAGAGCCTGACCCACTTTGGACAGTCCCATCCATTGGCATTGGAGCCTAGACTCTACAAGAATGGAAGCTGACCATGAGTCTGGAGCAAGGCAGCATGTAGTAGTCTTCCATGCTTTCTGCTTCAAGCTCTTACCTTGAATTTCTGCCTTGGATTTCTTAGATAGTGGACTATAAACTGAATAATGTAATAAAGTATTTCCTCCCCCTCCCCCCAAAAAAAGACCTGCCTCTGGAGTTTGCAATTTATATATAGTGTATGTATGTATGTATGTATGTATGTATGTATGTATGTATGTGTGTGTCTCAAAAAGTGGATATGAAAAATCCAAGTGATCTATGTAAAAAATGATATAGTGTCTAGTTTCCTGTCAACTTGTATCAAGCTAGAGTCATCAGAAAGAAAGGAGCCTCAGTTGAGGGAATGCCTTCATGAGATCCAACTGTAAAGTATTTTCTCAATTAGTGATCATTGTGGCAGGGCCATTGCATTGTTGGTGGTAGTACTGGTGAGCCTGGGTTCTATAGAAAAGCAGACAGAATGAGCCATTTAGAAGCAAGTCAATAAGCACCATCCCTCCATGGTCCCTTCATCAGTTCCTGCCTCCAGGTTCCATATCTGTTTGAGTTCCTGTCCTAACTTCCTCCAATGATGGATTACAATCTGGAATTATAAGAAAAATAAAACCTTTCCTCCACAAGGTGATTTCTTGTTATAGTCATTTACTACAGAAATAGCATCCCTAATGAAGACAAATGGGTACAAATCTAAATGGAGGAATGATTTTGAATCAAATTTGTCGGAGGCCTCTCAGAGAAATATCTATAGGCAAAGCAAAACAACAATAACAAAAAATCATTGTTTCTAGGAATGCCTTGCCTACAATCCATGTTCAAATGACCTTGTTTACCACAATGAAAACATCTGCCATTTTCATTTTTTTGTAATACATTTAGAAATGATTTCTATCAAATTAGCACCATAAACATAAGATCTAATATCAGCTCTATCTCTAATCCATTCCCCTGCTGGTGTTGATCTTGCCTTTAACTATCTAATCACACTTTTCTATCCTGAATTAGCATTTTCAAAAGCCAAAGATTTAATCACTGTTTTTTTGTTTTGTTTTGAATCCTGAATCTCATACTATTCTATTTACAGCTAAAGTCAATGTTTTCAAAAATTAGTAAAGGTTTTTTGGTGGCTATGTATAATTTTAGTAAATATCACAGACCTCTTTCCTGACTCTTTAATTTTGTCTCAAGTATTTAAAGCAGCTAAACTATATATTCTGACTTTCTATTTCTCAGAACTAGAAACGTCCAAAACAAGTCAATTTCAGAAAAAAACACCCCCATGTTTATCCAATCAGGACCTACCAGAAGCTGCCTCCCACTCAGTCTAAGTCAAGCCTAAGCCCAAAATAGTTAATCAGCAGTGATTCCAAAAAACTACAAAACTTC